ATAGACTTTTCTTCATTTACTTTTAGTAGTCAAATTATATGGGAGACATCCTTCTATTATGTATATCTTGCAAATGATCCCTTCTAAGGGCAGAGAAAATGCATAGTACATGCATGACTTTAGTCTAGATTCCCAGTTGTGTGTTAATATTCTTTTCTCCTTCTTTTGAAGCCTCAGACATGTTAGAATCTTTTGTTTACTCTTGTGGCTATGTGTCATCAAGTTGAGTACAATTCACAGGGAACCCATGACCAACAGATTTGAACCCTGTCTCAGTGCCATCCACACCATCTCTAACATATTTGAGCCCATTCTTGTGGTCGATGTGTCAGTCTATAAGGGTCTTCTCTTTTGCTGACCCTCTGTCTTTCAAAGCATTCTTTATAAGGAATGGTCCCTCCTAACTACATCCTCAAAGTATGTGAGACAAAGTTTCACCATTTTTGTCTCAAAGGAGCACTCTGGTTGCATTTTCTCCAAGACATATCTCTGTTCTTTCGGAAGTCCATGGGACATTCAGGACACTTCTTAACAACATAACGCAATTGAGATCAGACTTTTCCAAAGCAATATGGCTTTTGATTTCTTGACTGTTGGTACCAAGGGTGTTAATTGTGGATCCAAGTAAGATGAAACCATCAGCAATTCCTATCTTTCCTCCATCCTTCATGATGCTGTCCATTGCACCAGGGATGAGGATTTTTGTCTCTTTGGTGTTGAGAAGTAGTCTATACTGAAGGCTATCACTACTGGAGACATAACTTTCTTAACAGGATTTATCCATTCATTATTCCACGACTGAACTTCTGATTTAAAATTCACAATTTGGAATTGCCTTTCATATTTTTATCATTGATTAATGTAAGCTTTTTATTTCATATCTAATATCAGTGATTGGTATTATTAATGCAAATGTACTGCAGAAGCAATATTAACTGTGAGTAATCCTGTGAGTCCAGAATCAAATGTTATAGACATTTTTTCTATACCTGTGTGTTAAGTCTGTAATATAGATATGAAAATGTTCACAGTCCAATGATACATATTTCCTGAAGAAGGTGAGCAAAAGAAGTGGATACAGAAAAAAAGATATGATTTCTGATTGTTGTTGTTAGGTGTCACAGCGCAGGAGAGGAAGGCCTTCTATGAGGTGGATTGATTCAGTGACTGGGATAATTGGAATGGGAGTGTCAGAGGCAGTGCGATTGGCACAGGACAGAGCGGAGTTTAGGGCTGTTGTGCATAGATAGGGTCGTTATGAGTCGCAAGTGACTCGATGGCACATAACAACAACAACAACAACATGAACAGCACATCTGAACCCTATCCTATCCTGTATCATCTTCAATCATTCTGACTGAATAATCTAGAATTTAATTTTGTGTTTTATTGGCCTTTAATTGAAAGCAATCTTTTTAAAAAAGAACTAAACATCTTTTTTAAGTTGAAGCTAACATTCATTGTCTTCCAGTCAATGACAATTTGTGGCAACTGGGTTTCTTCACTGGCTGTAAACCTCACAGGAGCTGAGGATGTCATCTTTTCTCCAGAGATGAGCTATGTCTTTTTGATTAGCAGCCCAACACATAGCCCTCTAAACCACCAAGAATCCTTTTTGTAACTACAGAAAAGCAGTCACTGAACCAAGCACAGTGGTCATTGTGAGAGTGACACAGAAACGGTTTATTTTTTATTTTGTTTTCCGTAGAACAGCTTGAGTCTGAATTGATCAGATACTGTCTAAAAACAATTGAATTATCAAGACTTCTACCCTGTTTTAATCTTTTTCCACAATCTTGACCTTACTATGGGTAGCAATTGTACAAATTCTATCAGTGCTAAAAGCACAGGATTTTTATTAGGTCTTGTAACCTTGAGTCCTCCATCTCCTTCCTATTAACTATGTAAATTGAAAAATATCAAATAATTTTGTAGATTAATGGTAAAGTAATAATAATAATAATAATCAACAACAACACCTGTCTTTGGAGACTCTCTGCTGGCTTAGTGGTAAGGAGTTGTGTTGTCAAGCCAAGGGTGCACAGTTCAAATCTGTTAGCAGTTCCATGGAAGAAGGATGATTAATCTCTTCCTGTGAGATTTACTGCCTTTGAAAAGCCACTGAAGGGTCAGCTCAAGGTAGACACACACACACATGCAATATACATAAGTTGAACAAATGTATACTAAAAAGTGCTGTGTATGAAAATGAAATATGGCAAACATAAGACTTTATAGTCAAGGTTTTTAAAGTCACGTTGTGAACATATTAGGAGGGAAATGGTAAAGTTATTAGCAGAGGATTTGTATCCCGTCTAAAATTTCAGATCCAACTAAAATGCATGATATAGGGCACTCAAAAGTACTAGGAACCACAAGCTACTTCAGTGAACCAAATGTGGAAGGGCAGACAATAGGAGAAAGAGACCACCAGGTGCTAAAAACACAGCCACACTTTAAATTCCTGCATGTCACCATCCACCTTTCTGAAAACCAACATAGAAGTAATAATTCTGTTCTAATATACCTCTTACTACTAACACTAATTGGCTAGTCCAGACATCAATTTTACTAACTTTTAATGTGTTATCCCAATTAATTTTCACAATAATACCTTGACATGGTCTTGTTACCATCTTTAACAGATGGAAAAAACAAATCACAGTAGAATCAGGTTTAGACTAATAACATCTAGGTAACAAATTATGAATCTGATATTTGAATTATGCATCTGGAGAGAAGTGTATCATGATCAGAAGGACAGAGAGAGAGCATTGAAGAGAAAGACCTCGGATGAGATGGATTGATACAGTAACTGGAGCAATGGGGGTAGACGTGTCAGAGTCTGTGAGACTTGCTCGGGATATGGCAGCCTTCAAAGCTGTTGTACATAAGGTCTCAATGAGTCACAGGCAACTTGATGGCACATAATAACAACTATGCTATCAAGAGTTTATTGTTCAAAATTACTTTCCTAGTCATTAACTTTGATTTTGCCATTTGGATGGTTGGGATCATACAAATAAGGTATCATAGTATATCCACAAAGTGATTGGTTAGTCTCTCTATATGACTGAGTGGATCCAGTGGCAGAACTTGGGAATCTTATCACCAACAAATAAGAAGCAGAGAATGCCATGCACATCCTGCAGGGCCAAAGATTTCTTGCCATTCAGGGTGGGGTCTACAGGAGCAGCAACAACACCCACCACAGAGAATTACAGGTTCAATGTGAGACACAACTGAGCTTGGAACTCCTAACTCATGGTTACCAGAGCTAGGGGCCTTCAAGCTTGTTAGAGGACTGATGTGGCAAGACTATGAGCTTTGTAACACTAGCGTAAAGCCACAAGGCTGAATGCTGAGGGGACTGTGAGCACTCTTGAGAAGCTCTCCTGACTGAGACAGTGTATCTTGAAAGCCTGAAAGTCTGAATGGTAATCTGTTAACTTCTCTAAAAGATCTCGTAATTGTTCATTTCTGTGAAGTCTGTGTAGCTATTGCAACAGCTTTCTGAACCAATAGGGTAGTTGTTGATGCATGTCATGAAGTCAGAATCAACTCAGAGTTAACTTTCCAGCAGGTTTTCAGGGGAAGTTAATTACACTGGATGAGACTGTCCATCTTTCTCCTGTAGGGAAGCTGGTGGATTCAAACCACATGCCTAAGTGGGCAGTAGGATTGGTATTGGAATTAGTAGTAATAGGTGTGGGAACATAGGGACATGTTTGACCTCATGGGAAGGAACTGGTTTTATGAAAATTGGATGTTATTGATGGAAGCAGTTCCCCTGGTGGAGTTAGTAGAAGTAAGACTCAACTGTCTCCACAATTGTTCTTTCTCAAATTACAGCACTTCTTCTAGGAACCAAGTTCTATACATGGTGTATGTACTTCCCTTCAAAATTGCCTTTGCTAGTTTTATATAACTCTTATCAAGAGAGTCATGCTATAATATCTACTATATCTATCTCTTTCATTTACCTCACTGTGTATCTAAAACACACTGAGTTTGCAACAAAGAAGATAATAATTTTGAGTTTTAATTTGAGTTCAATTTTATTTCATCTCAGTTCGGATCATTATCGTGAGCACTTTGCCTGATTTCATACTGGATTTACCAGTCAATATTTCTGTAAATATAAAAAACTATTCAACTTCATAGAAATAAGAACTAATCAATCTCATATGGGTTTTGGAAAGAAAAATTAATATGCATATTAAGCATCTGCAGTAGTGTCTAGCACATGAGTTAGGCTGAAATGTAAGTTTTTCTAAACTCTGGAAAAAACGAACTAGTATCATTTAAAACATCCCATGTTGGCTGAGTAATTACTCTTCCACAGCTCAGTTTAAAATTTTATCAGATGTAAAACTTGTAAAGATGGCTTAAAAATATCTCTCACTGTTGTAAAACAGGACTGACATCGGGGTTAGGGGAAGACTGGAAAGATGGGATAAATAATGTATATTGCATTGACACAGAAGAGGGAGAAAACTGTTTAAAAGGGATATGTGATTAGATATTATTGTCATGACAGGAGTCCAGAACGCAGTGGGGTGGTCCTGATGGAGAGGAATTGTAAAACAATGGGGGAACTTTTCTTTTACTTTTCAAAGAGAAGAGTGTACTTGGGGGTGGAGGGGAGGTGGGAAAGGAGAAAAGTGTAACCATGAGTGAATGGAAATCCAAAATCTCTGTAAATTTTCATTAAAATTAATAATAATAAAAAAGGAAAAAAAGGAATATCTTTCAGCTCCTAAAGAAATAACTATTTAAGTAATTTATGCCCTATATGTACTTGTCAATCCCATTCTTTACATATAGATAATCCCAGAATACAGAGCATTGTTATAGTTAATGTAAATTAATATAAATTAATAAAAATGAATATAAATTAAATTATCTATACATTTCAATGGCATTTCTGTCTCTTTTCTATTTAACACAATTCTTTTATCTCTCATCTATACAGGGCAGCTTTTGATTTCCAAATAACATCAATGGAGAATAATACAGAAGTTATTGAGTTCATCCTGCTAGGACTAACCAATGTCCCAGAGCTGCAGGTTCCATTCTTTGTCATGTTCACTCTCATATATCTCATCAATGTGATTGGAAACCTGGGGATGATTATGTTGATATCGCTGGACTCTCGTCTCCACACACCCATGTACTTTTTGCTCAGTAACTTGTCGCTGGTCGACCTTTGTTACTCCTCAGCTGTCACTCCCACAGTATTGACTGGGCTCCTTATAGGAGACAATATCATCTCCTATAATGCATGTGCTACTCAAATGTTCTTTTTTGCAGTGTTTGCCACCGTGGAAAATTTCCTGTTGGCCTCTATGGCCTATGACCGCTACGTAGCAGTGTGCAAGCCCCTCCATTACACCACCACCATGACAACAGGTATGTGTACCTGTCTGACAATAGGTCCCTATGTTGATGGCTTACTGAACGCTGCCATCCACATTGGAGAGACCTTCAGTTTCTCCTTCTGCATGTCCAATGTTGTCCATCACTTTTTCTGCGATGTTCCAGTGGTCATGGTTCTCTCCTGCTCTGACAGACATCTGAATGAGATGGTCCTTGTTTTTGTAGCAACATTCAACATCTTTTTTTCTCTTTCGGTTATCTTAATTTCTTACCTATTCATTTTTGTCACCATCTTTAAAATGCACTCAGTTGAAGGATACCAGAAGACGTTATCCACCTGCGCTTCCCACCTCACTGCAGTCTCCATTTTTTACGGGACAGTCATCTTCATGTACCTGCAGCCAAGCTCCAGTCACTCAATGGAAACAGACAAAACAGCATCGGTGTTCTATACTATGATCATCCCCATGCTCAACCCTTTAGTCTACAGCCTGAGGAACAAGGAAGTCAAGAAGGTATTAAAAAAAGTAATGGAGAAGGCCAACTTGTTTCGTGGCATATGATTAAGGTATTGTTGTCATGACAAGAGTCCAGAATGAAGGCTGCATAGTGGAGTGGACTCGGGGTGGGGCGGGGGATTTTATAACAATGAAAGAATTTTTCTTTTACTTTCCAAAGAGAAGAACTAACTGGGGGTGGTGGGGCAAAAGAAAAATGCAACAAGGAATGAATGGAAATCCAAAATCTCTGCAAACGTTCATTAAAATTAATTTAAAAAAAAAAACTAATGGAGGCCAACTTGTTTCGTGGGTTATTTTTTTAATCCTTTAGGCTTTATAGAGGTCAATTTTTATTATTTTTTCAGTCTTCTTTGTGCAAAGGTTTGCATCTCAAAGGCCACACTATCTTTAATTCCTAAAGTGACACACTCACTTCATCAGAAATCTGTCCCCTAGAATAAAATATATTTTGTATGTTGTT